CAAAATTTGGAATCAATGAAAATAAAGAGACTAATAGTATAATTTAGCCTTGTGAAATATTTTTTAAAATATTCAATATTTTTAAAATACTTTATTTTGAAACATTTAATATAATTTTTTTACATCTAACTCTCATGGGCATATAATAAACATCAATTTTAATTAAAATTTATCATTTTCATATTATTTATTAATCATATTGATGCTTGCAACGATAAATCGGTATATATATCGTTCAAATAAATTGATATATCTATTATTTAACCATTAACTAAAATTATGTCTACTTTTAGTCAATTGTAAAACTTGAGGAATAATTGCTATCAATTTGTATCCAAAATAACATTTATCAACATAAATAATAATAACTTGTGTGTTTAATTAAGATGTCTTGGATTTAAATCTTAATAGTGAGAATGAAATATATTATATTAAAAAAATATCTGATTTATATACATCTACAATTTCCGACAATAATTAATTACTACACATTAAATACTGTATTCTAATATTCATACTTAATCGAAAAAAAATATGATATACACGCGCGTTTTAAGTAATTGTAATAAAACTTTATTGCTTGATTCTCTAACTTTTTAGTGATATGAACATATATTAATTAAGCAATTGCCGTTCTACAACACTATAATAAAAAAACGATTTGTTTTCTTCTAAACGAATAAGATTATGAGATTTTTATTAGATTTTTCTTCTTAGTTCACTTTTGACAATTGACCTTTTACTAGTCAGTCTTGATTTCTAATTTATTCTGTAAACAAAAAATAATAAAAAATAAATAAAATGCACTCATAACTATTGATTATAAAATTAATGATTAAAATAATAATATTTTTTATTTATAAAATTAATAAAATTTAAAATCAATTATAATATCAACTACTAATTTTTAATTAATAATTATTATCACACTAGAATAAAAATGTAATTCCATCTTCTAAAGTTAGATTCTCATGTTATGAGTAAGTTTTCCTCGTTTATTTTCATAGATCATATATATTTTTATTATTGATAATTTTTTAAAAATTTGATAAAATTATTAAAAACGATTTTTTTAATCTTATTATTTAACTTAAATGTATATTTAGAAATCAAATTCAATTAAAATAATACTCTCCATCTAATAATTAATTTGTTTTCACAACAACTCATTTGTTATCAATTATTTAATTGATTCATTTTTTTTATTAGAATGAGCAAAGAGAAATGATTCGAGAATTTTTCATTGGAGGATAAATCAAGACAATTTTGAATATATAGATACGTGTGAAAGGAACATATGAGATGATTTTTCTTAAATATCGTAAGAAGTGACAACTAAATAGTATGTGAAAGGAGCAAAATAATGATTTTTCTTAAATATTGTAAGTGAGAACATGTAACATATATGAACGATGAAGATTAAATTAAAATTGATTAATAAATATATTGTCACATGAAAAGCATTTTGCATATTTTTAATTGAATATTTAATAATGGTTTATTATTTACAACTTTTATTTTTCGTATGAAGTATTCTACTCGATACTCTGTTAGATATAGATGATTAAATTTTAAAAATTAATTAGTGGTCACTACTTGTTTAAAAAAATTATGTACATTTTTTTAATCCTTAATCATTCTTAGTTTAATTATTATTAGGAGAATTTTGTCAAAAATAAAATTACCATCATAACTTTTTTTTTATAATGAATTTTCTATCAAATTAGATTAGTTAGTTCAGTTGATAAAAGTGATATCTTCCATAACAATTTCAACTATATCTAATCTAGCTAGACATCAAACCTCTAATCTTAATTAAGAAATATAAGTTTGGAATCATCTATAATAACATGAACAAAAAGCTGTTGATCTTAAAAATTGGAGAGTAAAACTATAATCTGAAAACTTTTTGAGACATTAATAATAGCTTTAACCCTAAAATCTAGAAAACTAAATATTGGGTACAAAGGCGTTGACAATTGAGTAAAATTAAGAAGTCGATGATCGATTATTCAAAAGGGTGATTGTTGACTAGTTTTCTAGCAGCACTCGCTTGGCATGAGAAAATAAGAGTTTCGAATATTTAAAATCAGAAGTGGGAAAAAAACTAGTAAAAGCCTGTCTCATAGATAAAAATAAAAAAGACATTAATTTCTTAATTGACCAAAATATAAAGCCATCATCTAGGTTCACACATTAATTCCTTTATTTAGCTTCACATTGTTTCTAGATAGATAGTTACAATTACAGCTGAATTTGAAAACTCTTAATTAGTGTAGCTTTCAAGCCGGCAGTGTTGATATCCACATATCATGCATGAAAACTTTGAATTGTAAAAAATTAACAACATTTTATAATGGGGTACTTAAATTATAGTTTAGATCCATAACCAATGTGATGTTGCATTCAAGAAATAATGTAAGAAAATGGATGGTGAAGGATTTGTAATAGAACATCAGTGAAAGCTATATTTTGGGGCCATTCCATGTGATTCTGAGGGAAATCAGAGGGTGTAGATATATATATATTATAGCAAAATTAATAATTAAGTGAGTGGAAAAGTTGAAGGTCCAAATGTGACCATAAACTTGTCTTAGAATTGTCAAATTACATGACGCAGATAATGACATGACAAGAAAACGATGATCATAGATGCTATATCAAGAATGTAATTATATCGGTCCAATTTGAAATCAGTGGTTTTTTAGAATCTCCAAGATTGGTCAAATCTTGAATCTGTGGAATCTGCAATATTCGATTACATTTGTGGGAAGTTTTGGGGTCAGGTCTTACATTTGCCGGATAAAACTCATAATAATATTTGTTAAAGGAAGTTGATTACGATTCATATTCGATTAAATTAGTAGTGCCTGACCAGCAGGATTAGCATAGTGATTGAATAGGGAAGGATTGGGGTAGTTAGGAACATGAGGGCCTAGATTCAATATTCACTGTGATCATTTTTGTAATCTTTTATATCTTTACCAAAAAATTAGTAGTGTTTGAATGCTATTTTCTATTCTATTATGGAGAGGAGACATTCCAGACAAATAACAAGAAAGCAGGTTTAATTAATTAATATTTTCTCTATAATTTTACTTTTTAATTTTTATAATTAAAATTATATTATTCTTAATCATGTTATTAGTATCAAATATTACCAAATTTATGAATCACTAATTATCATTAAAAAATAGAGTTCAGTACCATAGACTAATAACTTATTAGTAAATCATTCCATTTTAATCTTTATAAATTTTATTTTGTAATATCTTTACAACCAGACAATAGAGATTTGAAAGAAACGAAAATTATATGTATAAAAACTAAAATAAAACGTGTTTTAATTATAAAAATCATTTGAGTATAATATTTTATCAATACAATAATTTTATTATTTGATCATATTTTATATTATTTTTAATTTTATTTGGTTTACGGATGTTATTAGCGATCACGCATTATTTTAAAATTAACAACTAAAAATTAATATACATTCATAAATTATGATTTTCGCTTACATTTTATTTTTATTTGACTTTTTATTATTATTGAATGTGCATTAAATAATGGGTAAAAAAACTTAATCACACCCTTATCTTATTATATTCTTATTATATCATGCTTTCATTTTTTATCTTATCGTATCATAATTCTTCACCACACTCTTATAGATTATAGATTAGAATATTATAATGCGTTAGGAAAGTAACTTTTTTTTAGGGAAAGTGATTATCTTACATAAATATTACATATGTGGATATAATTTTCTTTTGGCAAAGAAAATTACTTATGTATATAAAATTAAAAATTAATATTATGTTACCCTTATTATCAAGAAATAATAAAAAAATTAGATTAATTGTGATTTAGATCCTCTAAATATTTTAATTATGTAATTTTGATTCCTAAAATATTACTTAGATAATTTTAGTTTTTAAAGTATTATAATTGTGTGATTTTGACCTCTCAAATTTAATTGAATAAATTTAGTCAATCAAACATCATAATTGTATGATTTTAGTCTATTTTACTCAAAATCTAATAATTTTAAAATTATAAAATACTTATAATTTTAAAATTATATAATTTTTGACCTATTTATGTTAAATACATTTTAATTTTTATTAATGTATCAAATGAGGTATATACATATATTTTTTTTTCAACAATGATACATATTTATTATTACTTATTAAATAAAACTTATATTAGTATTATAATATTATTCATAAATAAATATCAATAATATCATTAGTTTATTTATAAATAAATTAATAATTTTATGAATATAAATTAGTGTATATTAATATACTTTGAAAATATTTAAATATATTAGATAAAATAAACATGTTAAACAAATTTATTAGAGATACATTATTCACTCATTTGTTGAAATTGCTGAACTGCAATATTCAAGAGAAAAAAAAAAATTAAGTCAATAATTTGTAAATAACACGGGTGTGGGGTGAACCTGTATGGTCCATAGTATAAGAGGGCTAGACTGTGTGTTGAGCTAGCTCTAATTAAAAATATTAGGTTCATGATATATACACTTCTTTTTTATTTATAAATACACTTCCTTTTAAAAAATAAAATATTCAAATATTATTAATTTTTTTATTTTAAATTTTTTAATTTTACATCTACAATATTTAATTTAGTACTTTTTTTTCACACATTTTTTCTCATTTTTTCAATTTTTACATGTACTTCCTTATTTTTCCTTCACTCCACCTATATTGGTAATATGTGCAAATTGAAAGAGAGAAAAAAAAGTGTGTAAATAAGAAGAAGAAAGTAGCAAATTGAAAGTTGAAAGTATAAAATTAAATTTAAAAAAAATTTATAATATTTTATTATTTTTTTTAAAAGGAGGTGTACTTATAAAAAAAGAAGGTATATATATCATGAGCCAAAATATTATGACCTATTATGGATTGGGTGGAAACTCTAGAATAGGCCCAGTTCTAATTAGCAAGGCCCATGTCAGTTCCCATAAGTAAAAAAAAAAGGTATGGTTACAGAGAGAACACGCGACTATGGTAACACTAACACTTTGAGGTTGTCTCTGCGAAACAAACACCGACCTCAGTTACAGTTAATCTAACCGTTTCATTCGTTTGAGGTCATGGCGTTTTGGCACCGAATCAGAAATCCCAACCTCAAAACCCTCTCCATCCAATTCCAAAGATGTTACATTCGCCTTCCCCATGCTTCCACTCCCAAACCCTGCCCTATCAACATTCCTCATCCCTATTCCGTGTTTCATCGCAGACCCTCATCTGTGAGGTTCTTCGCTGCACCCGTTCAGGTAATTTTCTCAACTTTCATTGCCCCAGCCTATCAAAGTTGCTGCCTTTGCTCTGTTTTTGCAAGTGGGTCGCTTCCTGATTTTCGAATTGTGCCGAGTAATGGATCATTTTCCTTTAGATCAGGGCCTGGTGTTGTGGGCTACTCTTTGAATATGATAATACTTTGTTTTTTTTTTCAGTTTCAGGTAAAGCCCAAGGATGAGGAGGAGGACTCCGATGAGTATCGTTTGAATGACAAAATCAAAGCTACATATATCAGGCTTGTGAGGGATGATGGTAAACCTATTTACGCATTTGAATTAAGGGAATTGTTGGATAAACTTATTTGGAAACACTTCTAGGAGAGAAAAATAAGAAAGAAAATGAAAATGAACTTCTCCACAAACTAAAACTAAATCTAACTTATGCATAAGTTAAAATAAGATTTTAGATAAGATAATTGAAGAAAGTTTCTATAAATTATATGCATAAGCTAATTTTAGCTTACGAAGAAGCTTATTTGATTTTTCCTTTCTATTTTTTTCTCCTAAAAGTGTTTTTGGAGAAGCTTATCCAAACAAGTTCTAAGACTGGTTTGGTTGATTAATTTTGTAATGTTTTAATCATGATTGGTGTCATTGTTTTTGTCTGTTGACTCTTTATTTTTCTCAAGTGATTAAACTGTGGAATGGTATTATTACAAATTGCTAGAGCATAAAGCCATCGAGCTATTTGTAATAGTCGTACTACTCTCGCACATCATTACCAAATAATTGTTTTCTCATTCTTGAATCGCTGTAACTAAGATAAACTGCAGTTTAGTCTGGGGCCTTGCCTAGGCCTAAGCAACTTGAAGCTGCTCAAAGAAACACACATAAATATGAACTATATTGATAATGTAAATAATATACATGGACTTGGAAGATCATCTTTCTGTGTTATTTAACCATAATGCACCAGAAGCTTTCCTTGAGCTTTGAAGTTCCCATTGAATGTATGAATTAATGCAGGGCAGCATTCAATACTACCAAAGTTTGAAGCATTGGAACTTGCCAAGGAGCTCAAACTTGATTTAGATATATATCATGAGCCAAAATATTATGACCTATTATGGATTGGGTGGAAACTCTAGAATAGGCCCAGTTCTAATTAGCAAGGCCCATGTCAGTTCCCATAAGTAAAAAAAAAAGGTATGGTTACAGAGAGAACACGCGACTATGGTAACACTAACACTTTGAGGTTGTCTCTGCGAAACAAACACCGACCTCAGTTACAGTTAATCTAACCGTTTCATTCGTTTGAGGTCATGGCGTTTTGGCACCGAATCAGAAATCCCAACCTCAAAACCCTCTCCATCCAATTCCAAAGATGTTACATTCGCCTTCCCCATGCTTCCACTCCCAAACCCTGCCCTATCAACATTCCTCATCCCTATTCCGTGTTTCATCGCAGACCCTCATCTGTGAGGTTCTTCGCTGCACCCGTTCAGGTAATTTTCTCAACTTTCATTGCCCCAGCCTATCAAAGTTGCTGCCTTTGCTCTGTTTTTGCAAGTGGGTCGCTTCCTGATTTTCGAATTGTGCCGAGTAATGGATCATTTTCCTTTAGATCAGGGCCTGGTGTTGTGGGCTACTCTTTGAATATGATAATACTTTGTTTTTTTTTTCAGTTTCAGGTAAAGCCCAAGGATGAGGAGGAGGACTCCGATGAGTATCGTTTGAATGACAAAATCAAAGCTACATATATCAGGCTTGTGAGGGATGATGGTAAACCTATTTACGCATTTGAATTAAGGGAATTGTTGGATAAACTTATTTGGAAACACTTCTAGGAGAGAAAAATAAGAAAGAAAATGAAAATGAACTTCTCCACAAACTAAAACTAAATCTAACTTATGCATAAGTTAAAATAAGATTTTAGATAAGATAATTGAAGAAAGTTTCTATAAATTATATGCATAAGCTAATTTTAGCTTACGAAGAAGCTTATTTGATTTTTCCTTTCTATTTTTTTCTCCTAAAAGTGTTTTTGGAGAAGCTTATCCAAACAAGTTCTAAGACTGGTTTGGTTGATTAATTTTGTAATGTTTTAATCATGATTGGTGTCATTGTTTTTGTCTGTTGACTCTTTATTTTTCTCAAGTGATTAAACTGTGGAATGGTATTATTACAAATTGCTAGAGCATAAAGCCATCGAGCTATTTGTAATAGTCGTACTACTCTCGCACATCATTACCAAATAATTGTTTTCTCATTCTTGAATCGCTGTAACTAAGATAAACTGCAGTTTAGTCTGGGGCCTTGCCTAGGCCTAAGCAACTTGAAGCTGCTCAAAGAAACACACATAAATATGAACTATATTGATAATGTAAATAATATACATGGACTTGGAAGATCATCTTTCTGTGTTATTTAACCATAATGCACCAGAAGCTTTCCTTGAGCTTTGAAGTTCCCATTGAATGTATGAATTAATGCAGGGCAGCATTCAATACTACCAAAGTTTGAAGCATTGGAACTTGCCAAGGAGCTCAAACTTGATTTAGTTGAGGTAAATGAAATTTCTTATGTCTTTTTCCATGTTAAATGAGACTTTCTTTATATAAATTTCCTTAAGGTTTTTTTAAACGATACTCTCAAAACATAGATGCTGAGTTAAAGTAGATTACATAATTTCTAGTAAATTCATCTTTTACAGAATGATTTATTTATTCACTTTTGCATTCTTGGAATCTTTTAATTATTTCTGTTATGATGGTTTTGGACTTTAATCCTTCTATGTTCTAACCTGAAGTTGGGGCAAAAACATATGAGCAAGTGTCTAACATAATGTAGTGATTATTTTCATCACCACAAACAACAGATGCTTAATATTTGGGATATTTTGTGACAAGTGATAGATAACCTATATAGCCATGTATCATATTTGTCAAACTGTAAAACATTAAAATCTGCTTAAGAATACATGTGAGAAGGTTGGGATGTTGGGTTAAGCACATTAGGATGCTCCCCATATCTTGTGACATTTATTATATGAAAATTTGGTCATGTTACAGGTTGATAGAAGTGCTAAACCACCTGTCTGTAAAATTATGGACTACCACAAGGAAATGTATAAGCGACAAGAATGGGAAAAGGAGCGTGCTAAAAGCAAGGTACAGTAGTATGCTATGGAAGTTGCTCACAAAATTTCTTTAATTGCTTTTGGTTGAAATTAATGATACAAATTTTGTCTTACTCATTTTAATTTGATACGGACATGTTCAAACAAATGAATCTTTATTAGCCAAGCACTAGGACTACACATGCTTTTTGCCTGTTAGAATTTGTGTTCCTTACATATCATATGCTAAATATGCTGGCAACATAATCAGATATGAGTAGATAAAAGTAAGATGGAAATTAAATTGGGATTATGGGTATCAAAAGCTCCCAAATCACTGCATACTGTACAAGTTACAGGTACATACTTATTTTAATATTTTTCAATTTTTTAAGTCAAGATCAACTTGCTAAGAGTGGCTTTAACAGTTGTATGTTTCTATTGGAGTAAGCTATCATGTGCCTGCTATCTTTGAAATAATTTGATTCTGCTTGGTCTAGGCCTTTACAGTATGCATGGCTAAATGAATCAGATGGCCTTTTTAGTGAATTGTCAAAGACAATCATTTAATCTTTAGTTCATTAGATGTAATGTTGTTCAGTTCTTAATCCGTTTTCTGACAAATGCAGGCTAACATGACACTACGAAAGGATAATAAGGAAGTGCGATTTTCTGCAAAAACTGTAAGTTTTCTTTCTTTTATTTTTCCATATCCTTTAAATATTATAGCAAACTTTTTCATATAAGAATTTACTAGAGTTGTTAAATGGACTGGGCTGGCAGGCCAACATATGTAAAGCGACCTGGCCAGGGCCAAATTGGCTCATCTTATTTTGTTTTTTTGTTTTTTTTTTTGTTTTTTTTCTATTTTTACTAATAAAAAACAAAAAAAATGTACAGGGTATATTGGTCCGGTAGGTTTTGGGCCTCCAAATCATTGGCTCGGTTCTTCTTAGGCCATCTCTTTTAAGATCAGACCATTTTTGACACCTCTATTACCCAGTATAAAATTAAGTCTAGTAGCATGTAGTTTTTACTAGGTTTCTAATTCTTAGCTGGAACCCTTGTTTGTTTTGGCATTGGAAAATCAATTTTCACATTTTCCAATTAAAAACACGTCCTGATATAAATCTATGACCAAAATCAATTTTACCCAATTTTAAAACAAACCTTAGCCAGACAAATGTATGTTTTGTACCCACCTTTTGGTATCGATGGTTCACATGCAATCGAACTAGGATATAGGTTCTATCACCTTAGTCTGCTGAAGCAGTCCTTTATGGTTTATATGCTGTAGCTAAATATTTTTCACTTTCAGCTTCTTGGTGCTTGCTTTCTTTGAGCTGGCCCATGGCTTTTAGTGCCCAACACAAATAAGTGACCTAGAGAAGGCAATTAACCATTCAAGATTCAATTTGTAGGGAGAAATGTTGAACCTGCATGGTATTATATCTTCATATGTGTGTGTTGTGTTTTGGGGCCAAGTGTGGTCTTTGTATTCTGAGTGAGTGTCATATTTTGCTTCATTATCCTGGAAATGTAAAATTTGATGGATTGAAATTTCTGCTGTTGATGTTTTCAGGAAGCAAGAGACCTGAAGGTCAAAGCAGATATGATTAGAAAGCTAGCTGAGAAGGGTTATCGAGTGATGGTACTCTCTGTTGTTTGGTTTTGAACTATATTTTTTTTTATCTATATTGTCTCTAATGTGTTTCAGGAGCAATCTCATAAGTAATTGTGTTTCCATGTTTATTTTTCATGCAAAGGGTTGAATATGCATTTAGTTTTAGAAAAGTGCTGGGTGTACTGTGCAACCTCTCAATTTGGTTGCACTGGTGCAACTTTCACCTGAAATCCTCAAGTTGCCATGTAAAATGATTTACCTACAGCTGTATTGTATTGTATTGTATTGAAGAAGTGAGCAAGAACAACTGTTTACTACCTCACAGTATGGGTTGATGAAAAGCTAGTGAATAAATGGAGATGTAGAGCGTTATTAAGCATCTTCCCTTTTGTTTACCGTCAGCAACTAAGTTGACTTAATCTGATGTCCAAGCCTCCCGTATATTTCTGCATTATTCTTTTCCTCCCCAAATACCCCATCCCTATCTCTGCCTCTAAAATTATATGGTGCATTATGCATTAAAACTAAACACAGAATATTTAGATAGAGTTTGAACAAAAATGCTCGAGTGATTTTGGGCATCCAGCAGAACAAAATTTATATAGAAGAAATGATTACAAGAGTTATTGAGATTTATTTAAATACATGCTGTTATTGAAATTCACAAGAAATGCTTATAAGAAAAAAAAGAGAGAAAAATAATGGGTTAATTATGTTAATCACATTTCCTAGGCTTCTTGGTTAATGGTTAGTGCGAGGAACATGCAAATTATTGGTTGGATTGAGCATGCAATTTTATTACGTGAGGTATTTTATCATAAAATAATAATGCAGTTTGACTTCAACGGATAATATGTTCTGGTTTTGAAAAATGATAGAAGAGAATAAAATGAGATAATCATGTATGATCTTATATCTTTTTAACGATATATATTGCATTCATCCATTGTATCATTCAAAGTTATAGTTTAATGTATAGTTGGTGAATGATAATGTCATAATTATGATTTTTTTTTGTCTATTTAAAACAGTGCAAGATATCAGCCAAGGAAAACCAGGACTTGACAGAAGTATTTTCTCCTCTTCTTGCTCTGGTATGAAGATTCTTACTTTATTCTGGGATTTTTCTGTCAGAACTTTTTTTTTTTTTTAATCTTTTCTCCCATTTCTCTATAACCCTTCATTCTACGTTTAAAAATTTCTTTGCAGATAGAAGATGTCTGTGTTGTGGAAAGTGGACCACATATGGCAAAAAAAGATGCACATATGCTCGTCAGACACATAAAATTTGGTCTACCTAAAAAAGGTGGGAAAAAAGGGCAAGATGCAACACAGGTCAAGATGGAGACATCAACAGCCAGTTCTAGTGATTCCATTGAAGATAAGAGTCACACAGAATCTGGGTTTGAAACGGAGAAGGTGCCTTCTGATGGTGACAAGTTTTCTAAAAGTTCCTGGCCTGTATTTAACAACAGCGTGAATATGACTGCCTCTCCTGATTATCAAACAAATGCTGCTCCAGAAGAAGCTGTCTTTATGTCAAGAAGCAATGATCCAGTATCTCATCCCGCACCAGAAAATAGGTATAGAAGAGCTGTTCATCATGGTGAGAACCAGGTTCAATCCAATGCCGCTGTGGCAGAGAATAGGTACAAAAGAGTAGAGCCAAGAAGTAGATTCCAACAAACACCAAATAATACAGGTATGAACTACCAAGGTCCAGGAACAAGAGATGCAGTCAGGTCGACGACACACCCGAATTGGAATCGGCCGAGCCATGCACCGGTAAATGTTGATCCCAGAATAGAAAATAACAGGCAAGGTTTTAATCCTGGATCAAGACACCCAATGCCTCCCCATGAGAATTTTTCCAAGCATCCTCCTTTTGCTCCTAATACCCCTAGGCCTGGTTATGGCAATTTTAGTGCTTCAAATGAGGGCATTCCCAGGCATCCTGGTGCTCCAAATACCACAAGACCTTCTAGTTATGGCAATTTTAGTACTCCAAAAGGCCCTGAGACACAAGGTGTAAATTTAGGGATGCATAGGAGCAGAGAAGGGAATCAGTAGGCAAATAAGGAATATTAGCAACTCAAATAGAGGAGGGATGTATCAAAATTGAGATATATAGGATGGGTAATATATTTCATGGCCCAATGACACATTATATACTCTAGAATCATTAAGCAATGGGTGACACCCTTCACTCCAGAGGGCTTGCAGCTGTATTTATTTATTTACCGTGGTTGACCTGAGGAACAGGTCTGGTTGTTTAGTTGAGAGTTTTGCATCATCTATTGGTAGTTTTAGCATGGAAGGGAACAATTTTGAATATTTATTTTATTTGACTGTGGAGAAGGGGTTTTTTTAACTACCCACAGACCACTTGAAATTTTGATGTACGATGTATTTGTTTTGCCCCTCCTTCCAGCAGGATCTGGTTCTATTATTGTTTAATAATATATTCTGTGATTGATAACATTCGAAGTGTTATCATTAGATGACACTGTCAAGTAGACAAGATTGATATCATTCCAGATATTTGTTTGCATAAATTGCAATTTCCATCTCTCAATTTTTTTGTTAATTTATTATTTTAGTCTCTATTTTATAATAGAATCGTTTAATTCTTCTAATTTTAAAATTATGAAATTTTGGTCTTTTCTTCATTAGAATATTTATGTTGAATGATGACTGTGTCAAGTATGTAGATTGATAACATTCAAAAGTATTTATGAAGTTATATTTGGTAATCTTTAATCTTATTTCTATATATAAATTAGAATAATCATCTTAAATGAGAATGTTATTAGAAAATATTTTTTAATAATAGTTTTTTTAGGAGTATTTTTCTACAAAAGTGTTTTTAGATGTTTTTTGATTTCTTTTCTCTTAAATAATTTTTTTCTTTATTTTTAAATTGTAATTCAATATCTTTTTAAAAGAAATTATCTATAATTAAAAGTAGTTTTATATTATAATGTAAATTGTTTATTACAAATCCAAAATAAAATTAATGTTAGAAAATATTTATTTTTATAAATTATAATTATTATATAATTTATATATTATAAATATTTATATACTAATATTTTAATGTGAACAATTAATAGGATGAATATTTATTTTATATACCTTAAATTTATACAATATTAACATTTTGAATATATAAAATAGTTAAATTAAAATTTAGAATAAATGAATATTTTTGAAATATGAATTATATTTAATTTTTTTCAATAATTATATTTTCATACAAAATTATTTTAACTATTAATGTTTTTAAAATATTGAAATTCAATTTAAATAAAGATGAAAAATAATATATTAAATGCATTTAAAAATATTTTCATTTAAGACAATACTTAAAAACATGCTTGTTTAATATATATATATATATATATATATATATGTATATATGTATATATGTATATATGTATATATCTAAACTTATAAATTGAAGTTATATAAAATAAGCAATTACCAATTTATTATGCACATTGCATAGACAACATTACTAGTTAACTAATAAAATAGTTTGTTTATACTATTTTGTACATGAAAATTAAAGTATTTTTTTTAACAGTGGTTTCTTTTTAGATTTTTATTTGGACCAGTTTACAAAATTAGTTGTTTTAATAAAATTGTTATATAAACCCATATTTTCATTCATCATAAATTATCAATTCTCTAAAATCACAAACCTACTAAAAACAATTCAGTGAAAATAGTTTTGCATGTGATAGACGTTTCAGACATTAAAGAAAATTCTAATAAGTAATAACAATATCTGATAAGAAGTGAAATTTATAAATATTTTTACATTTTAATGTTTATATATAAAAGTGATTTCCTATTTTTACGTACATAATTTTTAGATTATTTTATTTTTAAATTTTTAAATAATAAAAAATAATATTAAAAATTAATTATTTTTACAAACTTAAATCCTTAGGTTCAAAGATTAGGCATAAAACTAGTTCAACAAACATTAATAATTCATAGAGATTTTTAAATAAATATAAAAATACGAAATATTTTAATTCTACTAATAAATATAAAAAATATACAAAATAAACATTAAATTGTTACACGTAGGCATAAAATGTCTTATGTAATAGTTTAAACATTTAAATAGTCTCCATATACTTATTACATTAATAAAAACAATACTGAGTTGAAGGTTAAGGTGTCCTCCAAGGCAAAATCAAGATCTATTATTATTTTTTCTTAAGATTTAAGTTCGGTTGATTTTTTATTTTTATTTTTTATTCTTATTGCATTTAAAAGTTTGAAGTATGAACTACACCAAAAATTGTAAAGAGTTGCACCACAAAGCTTTCTTTTATGTAACTAGTTCCAAAGTCATTGAATCATTTTTAGCTTTATTTTCAACATGATTTCGTTGTTAGTATTTGTGTATATTTTGAAAATATAATTCTGAAATGTTTGTAAATGTATTATGGAATTTATCAAGTCATGCAACTGCTTGTCGACGATTATCCAGGTATTTTTAGAGAAAATGTAATGAGACTTCTTCGAAAAAGGTTTGATCACAAAGCATTTGTTTGGTAGAGGTGCAGAGATTAATGGTGGAAGGAAAACATGAAAAAGGTTCAATCACTCATCTAAACTGCATCGATTTTTTTAAAAAAATTGGCGTGTTATAAAATGGGAGGGATCATGATATATACACCTGTCTTTTTTTTTTTTTTTTGTGATAGACGTTTCAGACATTAAAGAAAATTCTAATAAGTAATAACAATATCTGATAAGAAGTGAAATTTATAAATATTTTTACATTTTAATGTTTATATATAAAAGTGATTTCCTATTTTTACGTACATAATTTTTAGATTATTTTATTTTTAAATTTTTAAATAATAAAAAATAATATTAAAAATTAATTATTTTTACAAACTTAAATCCTTAGGTTCAAAGATTAGGCATAAAACTAGTTCAACAAACATTAATAATTCATAGAGATTTTTAAATAAATATAAAAATACGAAATATTTTAATTCTACTAATAAATATAAAAAATATACAAAATAAACATTAAATTGTTACACGTAGGCATAAAATGTCTTATGTAATAGTTTAAACATTTAAATAGTCTCCATATACTTATTACATTAATAAAAACAATACTGAGTTGAAGGTTAAGGTGTCCTCCAAGGCAAAATCAAGATCTATTATTATTTTTTCTTAAGATTTAAGTTCGGTTGATTTTTTATTTTTATTTTTTATTCTTATTGCATTTAAAAGTTTGAAGTATGAACTACACCAAAAATTGTAAAGAGTTGCACCACAAAGCTTTCTTTTATGTAACTAGTTCCAAAGTCATTGAATCATTTTTAGCTTTATTTTCAACATGATTTCGTTGTTAGTATTTGTGTATATTTTGAAAATATAATTCTGAAATGTTTGTAAATGTATTATGGAATTTATCAAGTCATGCAACTGCTTGTCGACGATTATCCAGGTATTTTTAGAGAAAATGTAATGAGACTTCTTCGAAAAAGGTTTGATCACAAAGCATTTGTTTGGTAGAGGTGCAGAGATTAATGGTGGAAGGAAAACATGAAAAAGGTTCAATCACTCATCTAAACTGCATCGATTTTTTTAAAAAAATTGGCGTGTTATAAAATGGGAGGGATCATGATATATACACCTGTCTTTTTTTTTTTTTTTTAAGTACACTTTTTTTTTATTTATAAATAAATTAAATTCTTAAAATACTCTTAATTTTTTATTATTTTTATTTTTTTAATTTTATATTCCTAACATGTAATTTAACACTTTTTTTACATACTTCTTTTTCTTATTTTCACATACACTCCCTTAATTTTTCTTCACCCCACCTATATTAATAAGTAATTTTAATTTTTTTATTTTTAGATTTTTTTTTTCTTTTGTTTTAATTTTCCTACTAATTTCACTATCCGCATAGTACTATAGAATACTAAAAACGTCTTTTTCATAACACTAAACATGTTAAGATTTTTGGAAGAGTGAAAGGAAAGGAAGTGTTGAAAGAAAAAATGTGTGTCTAGTTTGATAGAAACTGTCGAGGAAGCTACACGTACTTACAATATTGTCACCTACCAATTCTATGATTTTGGTGCATGTAAAAAAGTGAAAGAGATGAGAAAATAAGAGAATAATATAAAAATCGAAACAACTAAAACTACCCACTAAAATAGGTGAGAAATTAGAGGAAGACAAGATGATACATGTAAAAACTGGAAAAGCGAAAGAAAGAGGTGTGTGAAAAGAAAAAATAATAAATTGAAAGTTAAAGATGTAAAATTAAAAATTTAGAGAATAAAAAAAAATATAGATATTTTAAGTTTTTTTTTTTAAATAAAAGAGGTGTACTTATAAAAAGAAGCGTATATATCATTAGCCCAAATGGGAGTGTGAATACACTGGATAGCAAGAAACACAAAATTTTCAAAAGCCCATTTTATATGCAACAAAAAAAGCCCATTCTATAACGGCTCAACAATCAACACGGGTCAATATTACACGTTAATGACACTAATTAGTATTTTTTATTATATTAGTGATGTGTACAATGCAGTATAAGACAAAGTTTGGACCCTCACATTTTGATTTTGATTTTGATTTGAAGAATTGGGGGAAAATTTTGAGTGTGGTAGCGGCAAGTGGTAACGCGCAGCACTGTGTTGAAAATTGAAACTGCTCTCTGTTCTAAGCTCCGTTTCCAGATTCAACCACTCAAACCCTAACTCTTCCAACTTCGCTCAATAAGGTCATTAATTTATTGTTATTGTTCTTCGATTATTCACTTTTCCAATTAGGTTCCCAGTGACTCATGCATTGTATGTAGCATCACCCACCTTCAATTCAACGATTCCTCGTCATTAATTACTTTTGCAGATATTCAGCAAAACAACCTCCTCTAAATTACGTTGTTCGAGTTTGATAGATAGTTGTTAGTTGCCATGGATTTTGATGAGTACGAGTATTTAGAGAACGCAGTTGAAAAGCCTCAAGTTAAGAAGGAGAAGCACAGGGCCAATGGTGGTGACAAAACTGTGAAGTCCGAAGAGAGGGGGCATGGTGGGAATTCCAAGCATAAGGATTATGATGATGTTGGTCTCCGTTCCAAGCATTCAAAATCCGGAGAGGATTCTCGTGAATATGAGAGGCAGAGAGAAAGAGGTTCCTCTCGCCACGGTTCGCAGTCCAGAGAGGGAGAGAAGGAGAGGGATCAGCACAGAAGGAAGAGGGACAGGGACAGAGATCATGAGGACAAGGATAGGAAGAGAGACAACCGTGACCAAGAAAGGGACAGGAGGGACCGTGGGAGCGAGACTGAACGGGAACGGCGAAGCAGAAGTAGACCCGAAAGGCATCGGGGTGATGTGGATGACAGGGACTATGGAGATAGGGAAAGAAGCCGGGATAAGGAGTACAAAGACAGAGAAAGGGTGAGGGAATCAAGGGAACAGGATAGAGAAACCAGGTATTGTTTCCTATTTTAGTTTTACTCGTTATAGCTGCTGCTCTAGTTTATACAAAAATAATAATTTCGGCGGTGATTGTTATCAAGCTAGCCTAGAGTTTTGTTTCTTCTTGTCTCACTGCATCCATTGTGAACAGGGATTAACCTTCCACCTTAACATGCCTGCAGTGTGTATACTTGTATAGTATTGCTCTTTAGCAGAGCATTGGATATGAAAAGGACATAGAAATGCTATTTACCCGAAAGCCACTTATTTAATGGTTTTCATCATTAAGTCGTCTATATTTAGATAGTTCTGTTCGTATGAAATTCCCTTTAGATTGTTCACCTTTGTCATATTTATCGTCAATTGTGGTACCTTGCTTTGTTTAATGTGATTAAGGCCTTTATTTTTTTATATTTTCGGATTCTAGTGATTTACCTATTGCATGCCTAGGATTTTTTTTTGTACTGTGCTGTCCTGTTGCTGTTGATTCTTTCCTTCAATTTAATCACAGCACTAGTGATGTCTTATATAAAGCTAGTTTTTTTTTTAAATGGTTTCATTCTTTATGCTTATGGTTCTCTTACTCGGTATATATAAGCTTTTAACAGGTTTACTTAATGCAATTAGGTCTCTCACTCTCGCACTGCCATCAATCCAAGTTGGTGATGCTGTTTCAATATAAGATTTTGTTTTATTTATAGAAGGTACAAAATCTTGTGTTAATAGCAATTGGATGACATTCATTCCCTTTAATTACCATTTCCAACAATCCTCGGGTCTGATTCTTTTTAAGTTTAAGAAGCAAAGTCATGAATTCAAACCTATGTTACCTGGGGATTTCATATTAACTTAATCCAATTCCCTGCAGGCCTATGTCACGTGGATTTGGGCTTTATACATGTAAAGACAATTTGCTGCCATGTTGCAAATTTAAGGAACATGAAAATTGTGTGTTGGAAAAAAATTGGTTTATGCAATAGTTTGTTACATAGATGTTATTGTTATTTTCAAATCTGAGCTGCTATAAAGGGGTTGCATGTATTTCAACAACTTGGGCTATAATTTTGTCTTTTTTTATTTTTTATTTTTTATGTTTTAGACGACATAAAGAAAAAAAGGATGAAGCAAAAGAACCTGAGGCTGATCCTGAAAGAGATCAAAGAACTGTGTTTGCTTATCAGGTATTCCAAATACATCTAGAATGCAATCACATGATCTGTTTTTAATATTCATTAACTTCCAGTCCAGATTTAATCTTCAAAACATTTTCACAGATTTCTCTGAAAGCAGATGAAAGAGATGTATACGAGTTCTTCTCAAGGGCTGGCAAGGTCATAATATTCCATTCACTTTATTTGCTAATGTCAAAATTGCTTTCTTCTGTTACTGTAGCTGGCTTTAATTATCGACGTTATTCATGAAAAATGATTTGTTTCCTTTTGACTTTTTGAATCTAATAGATCCTTGTCTCCCTTTAAGAGTGAGAGATTGATAGATGAAAATATAAATCTGAGAGGCATATAAGGCCTTTCTCTGATTTATGGAAGCATCAGAAGGAAATCCATTTTTTTTTTGTTAATAACGTTAATTATTTTAAATTCCTTGATAGTGCATAGAGTAAAGACACATCAGTAAATCTTTCTGATGGTGTATGTAGTTATACGTTGTTCGGTGGACCAAATTTAAACTCATATTTCATTTGGTGTTTTTCCTCCACCCCCCCCTCCCTCTCTTAATTTGCTTGCAAAAAGGCAGTTGTTCTTCAACCTTTGTTTTTGACATCTCTTCACTATTTTTAGGTGCGAGATGTTCGCCTGATTATGGACCGCAATTCAAGACGTTCTAAGGGTGTTGGGTAAGCATCACATAACTGTGATAAAAATTAAATTAACTTTGTTTTTTGTATTATCATCATCATCATCATCATTATTATTATTATTATTATTATTATTATTATTATTATTATCTGTCTTGTAATATCTTTTTCCCTGCTGTAGCTGCCTGTCATAACCTCATAGGGATCAGACTGTAATCCCTTTTTTTGTCTATTTGTATTCATTGTACTTCTGGTTCTGATATTGTTTTGATATTATAAATATACATTCGAAGCGGAGTAAGACGCACTCAAGCTTGTCTTTGGTATTCAATCTTTTTATTTTTCTCTCTTAAGTGCTGTTATGTATTTATAAATAGAGATAGGATTATATTTTGAAATTTAGTATTAATGTTTGATTCGTATGAGTTTGTACAACTTAGAGTTCCTTGTAACTTCATTGATATTAATTTTGTGAACATTAACTTGGGGTTGAGCTAATGTATGAACTGATATATTGTGAAGATTGAAGAAAATGTAAAATTAACACATGTAACATATAAGCATTACACACACATATCAAGTGTGAGAGTGAGAGAATCTAACCATGACCATTCAATCTTACGTGGATGATCTAAATTAACTGCTCTCATGCTCTTATCTAATGTTCTACTCCAGGATGCAATTTATGTGGTAATGTGACCAGGTCACTGGTCAGTAGTCACAATCACTTTGTCAGCAGTTGTAACTAAAAAAATTTATAATTGTAAATATATTTTAAGGTAGATAGTATAAACCTCCTTCTTATTTGGCTATGTATGAATATTAAAGATGTAAGTAGTTCAGGCTGCCCAAAGGGAATTTATAGCCTAGCCTGTATAAGGGCCAAGTCACCTTTTTTAGAAAAAAAATAGGCCAAGGCTTTTATAAGTTATAACAACCATTGGATTATGCCTAATATGTTAACCTATTTAAGTAATTACTAGTGAATTTGAGACACTTTGTGCTTCTATTTTATTATAAAATTTAAATAAAATAAAACTGTAGCTAAGTAATAAAGGTGTTTAAGAATTTGGATGGTTAGAGCTATTTAACTTATTTGAGTGGTTAATTTCTAATATTATTTAAAATTTTAAAGGGTAGAATTGTCTAAGAAAATGTGGAGTTAAAAAATTGGTTATAAACCATGTGTCCCTTTTTATATATAGGTATAGATAAATAATTTTTTTTTAGTATAAGTATTATATTAAATTTGTTATAATGTTTAAATTCAATATGTATTTTCCTTTTTAAATATTAAGCATGTTAAATTTGTGAATTATATGTTTAAGTAAGTTATCATGAAGGTCATATTACACCTTATGACCTTAAAAATAGGCTTGTATATTTTAAATAAGTTACACTTGATTCTCATAAACTATGGTCAGCCTATTTCCATTTGTCTCATGCTTTGAGTAGCAGTAATTTTAATTTTTATAGTTTATAGTTAATTTTAAATAGAATTTTTTCCTTGTCAACCAATTAGTCGATTATCTTACTAAGAAATAAATTATACATATATGAAGGCTTTAATATGAAATAGGTTAACAGACCAAGTCAGATTGTTAAAAAGATCAGGCCAGACTTGAAAAAAAAAAATAAAATCTTATGACAGGTAATAGGCTAGACTTGAGCCTTGAATTTTTTTAAACAGACCATGTACTGCTTTCCTTTTCCAGGTATATTGAGTTTTATGATGTCATGTCTGTCCCCATGGCTATAGCACTTTCGGGCCAACCTCTTCTTGGTCAGCCAGTGATGGTGAAGCCATCAGAAGCAGAAAAGAATTTGGTTCAGTCCACATCATCTGTTGCTACTGGACCCACTGGACTTATAGGCCCTTATTCTGGGGGTGCGAGAAGGCTGTATGTAGGCAATCTGCATATCAGTATTGGTGAAGCTGATCTTCGTGGGGTGAGCACTTCTTGTTTCTTTTGTACTTTGTTAATTTATTGATTCATTTTGTGATTGGTTCTCTAGAACTGATTGACTAAAAGGGGTCTTCATCATATGATGTAATGCAAGATTAGAATGAGATTGGGTGCTCGACTGAACTTATTTGCTCCTTTTCTTTTGTTTGTGCCACTTTTCCTCGACTTACATTTCTTTCTATAACTAGTCAAGATTTTGCTTTTCTTTGCAGTCTGACAATAATATTTTTATTTTCAACATTGTTTCTAATTGATTGTATCATTCTCTTTTACTCTTCTGTTAATTTGATTAGGTGTTTGAGGCATTTGGTCAGGTTGAGCTAGTCCAACTGCCTCTTGATGAAAGTGGGCAATGCAAAGGTTTTGGCTTTGTGCAGGTGAATTTTATAACTAGTAGTTACTAATTCGTCTGAGTTAATTACATGTAGTTTTTGTACCTTTTTTTTTTCTTTTCAATCATACTTATAGGCTTTTGTCGGCATATATGAGCAAATTGCTCATTCTATGTGGAAACTATCAATGAATTTAAACTGAAGGAGAACTTCTATTTGGACCCAATGGAGTAATGATCTACTCATGAATGAAGTTACTACTGGGATATGAAGCTATTCTACATTTCTACTACATGGCTTTATCATAATGCTTTCTGCTAGTTGCAGTTGTTTCCAGCTTTGTAGTTTAATATAATTAATTGTTTTCTGTAGTTTGCACGCCTTGAAGATGCAAGAAATGCTCAGAGCTTGAATGGTCAATTAGAGATTGGTGGTAGGACAATCAAGGTACTGTTGATTTGTTCATAGATCTGAGTTTAGTTGACCTTCTTTTACTAAAATTAGGCTTTATGTGTGCTAAAGTTTGACGTACTATTATAATTAAATTTTATGCAATGTGAATTGTTGAAATGTCATAATGAGCATTCATGCATTCTGATTCTTGCCAATAGGTTGCTGACTTGCTGGACTGATGAGTTTTATTAAAATGGGTCTTCATTGAATCCTTCGACCTTTTATATACTAACCAGACCAGTTTTTGGAAAGCAGTGTTTCACCAGTTAGAATCTTGTACATGATTTTTTTTTTTTTTGTGGGAGGGGAGGGGTTTCTTTTAATTTCTACTCATGTTTATTAGTTTCAAACATATTCTTTTATACTCTTTGTAAAGGAGAAATCCTTTGTCTTCAGAGTTTCAAACAGTTCTACATGCATCTTTCTTTTATACTCTTCCTATCCTTCCTTTTTATCCCCCTCCTAACTGAATATTCACACATGGATAAGTGGTTATTCCTCTTTCCTGAGTGTCAGCATGACTTGTGTGGTCTGCTGGTTCTCTATTACCCCCTTCTGAAATATAGATTTTCAGATAACTACTATGATGATCTTCGGGGTTGTATATCAACATGTGCTTTTCATCTGAGCTCGACTTTATTTTTCTGTATGTAAGTTGCATTTTGTGAGGATTGGCTACCGAATGGATATTCTGGCAATGATCTCTTGCATAGATGATCTAAATTGGATGAGCTTATTGCCTCCATTTTTTGTTTTATGAATTAGGTATCGGCTGTTACTGATCAATCTGGAATGCAAGAAGTTGGAGGAAATACTGGTGATTTTGATGATGATGAAGGAGGTGGCTTGGTAAGTAATCTATTTTGAAGAAAACTGGTTATGACCGCTTAAAGTTTTACTAAATTACGCATATTCCATTAGTGTGGTTATACCAGAAATCTGTAATTAAACTTGGGTACTCTATTCTATTGTGTTGGAGTAATCTATTCTTTATTTTAGATATATATTAGAAGCTGAATGAGTATTGCGTCTGAGGATTATTACTCATTTGTGATCATTTAAATACTTTACATATTTTGGACCTGAAGGGTTGGCTGCTCATGTTCTGAAATCTGAATATTAGAAGATGGGATTATTTTTGTATTTTAGCAAAATTAAATTGTTAAAGGATCTTCTGTTAGTCCGTACTGATTTGAATCTAGACCCTGCTTGATTCAGCAGATTATATTAGTATTTGAAATAAGGGGATTTTTTTTATACGTGTGAAAAAGTCTCCCCTTTCCTTTTCTTTTGACAAATACAAATTACAATGATCTTGATATTCAATAAACCATGATAGATGTGATATATTTAGCTTCACCAAAATATTTGTTTCTGTTTGAAAATTGGTATTAATTAGTACTTTTTATTTGAATAGAATTTAACTTCTGATAGTTTTATTACAAACCGCTGTTTTGGATGACTTTTCTTAAATTTCCAGTCCTTGAATGCATGTTCTCGAGCATTACTCATGCAGAAGTTGGATCGAAGTGGCAGTGCATCAAGGTTTGTCACCTGCCATTTTGGCTTTTCACAAGTCAAGATCAATATATAATCATAATCTCACTTTTTGTGCATTTGTTGACAGCATGGTTGGTTCCCTCGGTAATTCTGTTGTCAACAACGTTGGTCTTAATCTACCAGCATCCGGAACCATACCTGCAACTGCATCTGTGGGTTCTCCACTGGTTTCTCCTGTTGCACCAGTAGCTGGGTTGGCAGGTGGAAGTCTCCAAATTCCTACGGCTACAATTCCATCCATTGATACGATTGGCGTTCCAAGTGAATGCTTAATGTTAAAGAATATGTTTGATCCCAAAGATGAGGTGGCTAAATAGTCATATACATGGTTTTTTTGTTTCATACTTGGTTTTGTGGTCTAATGATATTACCGGCATGATGTGCTGCAGACTGAACCAGATTTTGATTTGGATATTAAAGAAGATGTTGAAGCAGAGAGCTCTAAATTTGGGACGTTGAAGCACATATATGTTGATAAGTAAGTAAACTAGTAGTTCTTATGTTCTTCTTTGACTTCTGAGACGATAAATTTGTGGCATTTTCATTTATTTATTATTCTATGATATTCAGGATGAGTGCTGGTTTTGTCTACTTACGATTTGAAGATACCCAATCTGCAATAAGTGCACAACGGGCCTTGCACGGAAGATGGTTTGCTGGAAAGATGATCACTGCAAGCTTCATGGTACATATGATGGATTCTCTTTTTATTTTTTGGATATCCACAATTGATAAACATCTTACCCTAACCACAAATCATTAAATCCTGTATATGCTGGCAGGTGCCTCAGTCATATGAGGAGAAATTCCCAGATAGCAGATAAATTCAGAGTCCAGTATTTGGTATTAGATAGTTGTTGCATGATGAGGAATCTTGGGGCAGAAATAATCATCCTCATAATTATACCTCGTATGGTTTCGTTTGAGGAAGATTTAATCATGCACATATTCACATGTAACTTTGATTTCTCTTGGGCATGTTAAATGTTGCTATTAGTAAAAGCTACAGTTAATACGCATCATTTTTTGGGGGGTGTGGGTTTGATTTAAGCGTCCTATTTAGTATTTACGGTATTACTCTTGTGGATTGACAGTGTTATTGATTGGAACAAGGGTTTTGTGATGTTAGAAACAAACATTGATGTAATTTAACTTTGGCTGATGGAATCACAAAGTTTTGACTTTTGATGTACGATGGTCCGCACCTTTTCTTCGCTGGTGTCTAATTTCCTTTTATTTTCCGCTAAATTGTTTTGGAAAAATATTCCCAGCATATCTCCCCCCTCAAAGTCATGAGTAATCTTTCTTAATTTTGTATCAATGCGATGGTTCAATGATTTTACAAACCAGAGGATTCAATGGTTAATCGAAGAGAACTTTTGGAGGATGGAGCTTCTGTTCTACCATTGATGGTAGCAATGACAGAAGATTAAGCCAAACAATTCAAGTGGTTTGTGAATTGTAGATCCAAAATGGTTTCAACAAGTAACTTTTCAGTTCTAACTACTTTTTTAAAAATGGTTCATATTTTTTTAAATGTCAGTTTTTAACAACCTCAAAAGAGTGTATTTTAATTCAATATATTAAATATATTTATAAGTATTTGAGACTTATCTAACTCAAAAAAATTAAAGGCAATTAGTTTGAAAATACATTTAGTTGATAATCAAAATAATTAACAAGAATTCTAATGAAATTCTTGAAAGTATTTTTTATTTTTTGCAGAAATTGTTAAAATTTTTAAACAGCATAAAAACCACTTTTTAACAACAAACTGAAAGTCACATAAAATGTGTCTTTTTAAAAAAATTATTATAATAATTAAGTTAAAATACTTTTTTATTTTATAATTTCACTTATTTTATCTTTTAGTTTTTATAATTTAAAATATATGTTTTTAGTACCTATACTTATATTTTTAAGCCTTTTTAGTCCATATAATTTAAAATAAATCTTTTTAAAGTCAATATTTACAAATTTTTAATTTTTTATTTTTATTGTTATTTTTTTAATATTGTCTCTTTTGTATTGATATGATAAATATATTTAATTTCGTAAGTAAAAAAAAAAAGTATTTCAACAATTGACATTTTATATGAGAGCATAAAAAAGTATGAAATACTAAGAGACCTAATTTAAAATAATTTCAACTAAATAAATTTGATATCAGACACACAAAATTGAATTAATATTTATTTTACTTCAATATAAAAGAAACAATATTACAAAAAAAATGTTAAGAAATAAAATGATTAAAAAAATTAAGTGTATGGAATAAAAAAAATCTTTAAATTATGGAGACTAAAAATGATTAAAAAAGATAAATATAAAAATTAAAAATATTCACATTATAAAATAAAGTAAGTGAAATTATAAAAATTAAAAAAAAAAATATTTCAACCTAATAACTATATCATTTTCACGAGTGAAGACGTTTTGTAAGACTACGAGAATGTTTGGTAAAATAATCTAATTAGCTAGTCGAAAAGTTAACTAAAAAGTGAAAGAAAATAATTGATACTTGGTATTGGAAGTTGGAAGTTGTTTTGTCAGCTTATTCAATCATAATTGTTTTATAAAGTTATATGTTAAAGTAAATAAATATAAAATAACTGGAAGGGACATATTTAAATGATATCTTTATATAAATATTTTTATTTAGACACTAATTGTTATAATTACATTATATAGTTCTAAAAAAAATTCTTCATATTTTGTACTCTACTAAAACCCCAATTTACGTAAAAAAAATGATTAAAAAATTCATTCAAAAGAAGTAGAAAAACCAAAAAAGAATAATAACATTCTATTTTATGTTTAAAAAGGTTGAACAAGTTAACAAATATTTTAAGGATAGAAAGAAAATATAAAAAAGTTGTAATGTAGAAGCTCAAATGCTACTTAAAGTAACATATCATAAAACAATACAAACTACTTATATAAACTTGTTTAACAAACACTATTAATATATTCATACATGTTTTTTTAGCTACTAAAAAAAGATAGATGCTAACTTAAAATGTTTTCACAAACATACTCTGTGTCTCTGTGGTTGTCAATAAAAAAAAAACAACTAATCCTTTAAAAAAAAAATTTAAACTAATCGATTAGTTGAAAGAGTTGAAAAAAAATAGTAAAAAAAATGAAATTAGCTAATTGATAATATATTTTTAAATTTTGTGTGCAAAAATATATTTTTGTGTTATTTATTTTTTAAAATTTTAGTTAATTTCAGAGTCTTATATTTTTTTTTGCCTAGATCAAATACTATTTATAAGTTAAAAATGAATAGTATAAACAATGCAATAATTAAAATGAATAGTGTAATATTTAGCAGTTAATAATACAATTAGTGTATGAAAAAACAAATTAGAAGATTAAATGATAAACATATTTTTAAGTAGTCTATGGAAAAAAAAAGGAGATGAAAAAAACATTTTAACTAAGTGTGATAAATTTATAACTAAATCCCTCTATTTTCATCAAACAAACTTATAAATTATAAATTAATTAAATGGCTTACAAAACACACTCTTACAATATTCTAGGATTAAAAAATGAGGAAACTAACAATGAGTTCAAATAAGATTTGTAAATAGAGAACTGCTAAATCCTTTTAAACAATTAAATTTAAACACTTGAAAAAACAAAATAGTTAAGAATTAAATTAATTTAAAGAACAAAAAAATCATCCCACTAGATAACATTGTGCTCAGTCAAAAATTAAATAAATTCAAACACGAAAAAGCAAATAAATATTTAAATGCATGCACATTAAAAATAAATAAAATTAGACACATACTTTCGGAAAGATCTAACGATTTATATTTAGACATCTGTAAAATATATTTTTGAATAAAACAAAGAGGAATGGGTGACAGCTCATCATCATCCCTAATGTCAATAACTCATCATCACATATGAATTATTTTTCTTACCAAACAAGGTCATCATATGGAACATATGGAACTCAAATTCTATTTTGTGAATTCAACTAACTTTCTTTTGTATGTATGAGATAAGATATGACACAATTCATGACCACATACAGTGCGATCGTAATCTAGATTTTCGTACATGCGTCTTTCTTTATCCATCAACTTTGATTAACCATAGTCAATTTTATTTTATAAGTAATTGAAGTAAATAAATATAGTTGTATATAATTATTAATATGTCATTAAAAATATTATGAGTTTGTTGAAACATCTAAAAAATAAATAATTTTGTCTTTCAAATAATCAATAATTTTTTATCAGATTTTTTTTATTATTATATGTGATTAACTACAAGTATAATATGATTAGCTTTGTCTCCTAAATGATAAATGCTATTATGATGTTATCAGATTATTGGTCATTAGTGGTGGATCCACATATATTTGAAAGAGGACAAATGCTCCAACACAAATATATATATATATATATATATATATATATATATA